TTAGGGTTAAGGGGTTTGGGGCTTGGGGTTTAGGGTTTAGGCCTTGGGACCCTACACCCTGAACAGTAGTTTCCATTTTCTTTTCCATTATCCCTACATATACCTCAAACTGGGAACGCGGAGTTCCTGTATATGGGGGTTTGCAAAGTTAGGGGTACCTTATTCTGAGTCCGTATTGTAAGGATCATACATAGTGTTTGGGGATCCATATTGGGGTCCCCTTATATTATTTAGAGAAACTATCATATAGCCCCTAAACCCTAGGCACTCTAAACTTTTAACTCTAAAGTCTAAACTCTAAACCCTAAACCCTAAACTCCAAACCCTAAGCCCCAAACCCAAAACCTGAAACTCTAAACTCCAAACTCGCAACCCTAAACTGGGAACCCGGCCTTCCCTTGGTAGAACCCTGAACCCCTAAGCAGCTCGACCTGGCAAAGGCCTGGGCGGGTGAGCTCACGGACTTCAACGAAGCCCTGCAGGGTGAGGCTAAGGCCCAGGCAGGAGGGACATTTAGGGTTTTGGGGGGTTTAGGGTTCGGGGGTTTTAGGGTCTGGGGTTTAGGGTATTAGGGTTTAGGGTCTAGGGGTTCGGGTTTAGGGCTTCGGGATTGCATAGTAGCATGCTATGGCAATTATTTGAATTATTCTTACTACTATTGCTATTATTACTATAGTTAGTTAGAACCCTAGGGGGTTACAGGATTATGTAGTAGCTGGATAGGTACACCTTGGACTTTGTGGCCTCCTACGACTGGGGCCGTGAGGATTCAGCACTGTAAAGGCTCAGGAGTCGGTCTTCGATGAGGTTTTTGGCCACCATACACTATATAGCAGTTTCCATTGTCTTCTCCAGTATCCTTCTATAACCCCACTATACTGTGCAGTAGTTTCCATCTTCCTTTCCATTATGGCCGGCGGGGCAGATTTTGCAGCATGTGTTGGTCTTCCTGTGACGGCCCTCACCTGCCTCAGCAATTTGCAGGCAAACAGGCGAGCGCCGAGACAGGGATGTGGGCCATGCGTATTTTTCTTCCTGGGACTGGTCCTTGTGCCCGGCTGGTGTTTCCGTAGCTTCAGGAACCCACTTGAGCTCCACATAGCTGTTCGAAGCTGGGACCTGACATGCAGGGAGAGCTCAGGTTGAGGCGCTCTACGGAAGGATTGAAGACTGGAATGTGTCCGCGGTGCGCGACATGCAAGGCCTGTTCAAAGGGATGACTGGCTTCAATGCCGACATAGGCTCCTGGGACACTTCGGCCGTCACGAGCATGAGAGAGATGTTTAATGGTGCGCTGGCCTTCAAAGCAGACATAGGCTCCTGGGACACTTCCGTTGTCAGGGACATGAGCGAGATGTTCAGGAGGGCGTGGGCCTTCAACGCAGACATCAGCTCCTGGAACACTTCGGCCGTCACGAACATGGAGAGCATGTTCGAATGGGCAAAAGCCTTCAACCAGGACATCGGCTCCTGGGACACGTCGGCCGTCAGGAGAATGGACAACATGTTCCGTGGTGCGAAGGCATTCAACCAGGCCATTGGCTCCTGGGACACTTCGGCCGTCTTTGGCATGTTCGGGATGTTCCAAGAAGCGGAGGCCTTCAACGAGGCCATTGGCTCCTGGGACACATCGAAAGTCAGAGACATGGAACAGATGTTCTTAGGTGCCAAGGCCTTCAACCAGGCCATTGGCTCCTGGAACACTTCGGCCGTCACGCGCATGAGCCAGATGTTTAGTTGTTTTCTGCCTGCCGTTGGCTGTGGTTGTATGCAGGAATTGCCTGGGGAAGGCTGTTATTGTTTGCAGGAATGTGAGATGCCCTTCAACCAGGCCATCGGCTCCTGGGACACTTCGGCCGTCAGGAGAATGGACCGCATGTTTTATGGTGCGACTGCCTTCAACCAGAGCCTTTCTCAGTGGGACACGTCGTCGGTGTTCAGGTTAGATTTTGTCGATATGTTCGAGGGCGCAATTCGGTTTGATGTAGAACCATGCCGAGCAGGAAGTGTCCCTGCTGACAACAAGCTTGGTTGTCAGAGTTGCCCTGCCGGGCAACTTGCGTTGGCAGGTGCGTTTCATTGTCAATTTTGCAGTCCAGGCAACGTCCCTACAGAAGATCGAGGAAGCTGCAGGCCCTGCCCTGCTTCTTCATACGCCCCACTGAACTCAGATGTTTGTGTCCCATGCAACTTTCCACTCTTGGGCTCTGAGGACACCTGCATTTGGTGGCATTTGCCCCTCATTGCAGTCGGCGTGGCGAGCTTGATGGTGGCCCTTGGCCTCTTCTGTTCACACTGACGGGCAAGAAAGAGGGTTAAGCTTGACAATGTCATGACTTGCTTGTACTGCGACCTGTGGCGGGAAGATGGAGGCACAATCGAGCTGTACACTGAGAGGTTGGGCAAGCTTGGTGTTAGCAAAGCCGCCGTGCAAGAACAGGTTGATGAGATGAGAGCGGCCCAAAGCAGACAGGCCGGCGTGAGCATGCGGTACCTGCTATCGGATAGCTTTGCAGAGTTGGCCAGAGAGCGCACGGGCAAGTCAGGTCCAAGCTTCATTGAAATGAAAGATAGCTTTTGGCTTTCCGACGATCCCATCGGGCAAAACTTGCGTTGTCCACGAGATGGCAAGCCGGGCTGTGCCCTGGTTGACTGGCTTCCTCGCTCGGACCGCCATCAGCAGACGCATTTTCTTTCCTGGACCTGGCAGTACCGTCTCAGGCAAGTCACAAGCGCCCTGGAAAGCTACCAGCAGGTGGTTGCCGCGGAAGAGGTGTTCTTCTTTATGTGCTTTTTCACCAACAATCAATTTAGAATCATCGTGGAAGAAAGCGCTGCCGGAAGTTCCGACCTCGAACAGGTCTTTGAGACCAATCTCACCCGCATAGGAAAGATGGCTGCGCTGCTCGATTCCTGGCATGAACCTGTCTACCTGTCGAGGGTCTGGACCGTCTATGAACAGTTTGTAGCATCCAAGCTGCAAATTCCTGTGACTTTCATCATGCCTGAAGACTCTGCGATCTCATTGCGAGAAACGGTGGAACATGGGAAGGCCGGCATTGAACAAATCACTGGGTCCCTTAGCACTGTTGATACAGAGCACGCCAAAGCGTGGAAGCAGGAAGATGAGGAGAAAGTGAAGTCACTGATTCAGCAGACGGTGGGTTTCGAGCAGGTGAACCAGCACGTGACCCAAACCATGATCCGCTGGGTCGGCGCGGTCATAGAGAAACACATCCAGACGCTTGTAGGCGGTCCCCGATGAGAGTCCAGGTGATCATTTCACTTTGAGAACAGGCTCTAAGATTCGATTGTCCATTGTTCATTTTCCTGTACAGCTGTGGGCCTAAAATCAACTTTCAGGCTTTCCGAGTTTAAGAGTTGGATGCTCGCATGGAAGTCTAGGTGCTGAGAGCCAGGTTGACAGAGTCGAATTTCTGCTTACAGGGCCAGGGGTGAACGACGGAGAAGGGTATGCTTTGCACCGGCTATGAAGGCTCTCAGTTTCCTGGCCTAAACCCTAAACCCTAAACCCTAGTGTACTAAACGGCCGCAGCCAACAGAGCTGGTGCCAGTTCTAAATGCTGCGGAAAATTGCTGAATTCATGTGGAGGTTTCCCAAAATTTGGGGTACCCTTGAGGGGTCCCCATAGTAAGGGAGTAAGGGATATGGTATGTTGGGATCTACATTGTGGTCCCCCGAATTTGGGAAGCACAAATGCCTACCAGGGTTCTACAAGTTGTGTTTGGGGCGGGGGGGGGGGGGGG